GAAAAACCCAGGACCATGCCAACACTCCCCCCACCATCCCTTGTAAAAAACAAGTTGCACTTTGCACTAGAATCTGGATCGTGCGCGGACGCCTCGCGGCCACGTTGCAATGGTTTTTGACAGGGACGGCGGGGGGGCAGCGTATTGCCTGCTGCACGCAGTGTCAACACTCCCGAACCATTCCGCGCACCGAAAAATACAAAGTGCATTTTGCACCAGTACCTGGACCATGCGCGAACGCCCCGCGATCATTTTGCCTTGGTTGTTAATAAGGTCGGCGGGGAGGACAGCATATTGCCTGCCGTGTGCAAAGCCAGCACGCCCAACGATCCTTTGCAAAAAAACAAAAGCAATACGCGCTGCACCAACGTCTGGACCATGCTGCGACGCCCCGCCCTCACATTGCATGATTTGCTTTTGGCAGGGATGATGGCCAGGGTGCCGGCAGATTGCCTGTTGCGCGCAGGCCCACCATCCTCGCATCAAAAAATGCGGAGCTTCATTATGCAAGGGACGGCGGGGGGGGCGGCCTACCGCCTGCGGCGCGCAGGCCCACCATCCCTGCCAAAAAGCATGCACAGTGATCGCGGGCGCACGCCCGCACATACTACGCTTTGCTCGCGAGCCCGCCATCACTCTCCACGGGTTTTTGGCAGGGACGGTGGGAGGATCGACATGTTGCACAACGCGGCGCACCCGGCGCGCGAGGCGCAGCTGGCATGTGCGGCGCACCTCGCGGGCCTCGCGCACCTGGCTGGCGACTGAATGGGTTCCCCATGAGTTGTCGATGGCTGCCCCTGCCCATGCTGACCGAGATTCGGGCGCCACTTATATGTTGGGAGGGCGGGTGGGAGTGAGCGAGATGACTTGTTGCTTTTGGGCAGCTTGCCCTCCCCCCTGGGTCTGGACGGGACATCCCGCGGGTCTTTGGAGCTCGTTGGAGCGCGCGTTCCCTGACCAGACAAGAACCCTTCCCCAAAACCCCTGACGGAGGGCGGGGAGGGAGGGCGTGACTATGGCTTCGGCCCCCCCTCGCGGCAGCGCCCGCAGCTCGAAGGAAGAGGAGGAAGAGCGCAGCGCCTCACGCGCGTCTCCCGAGCGGCCGCGGGCGCGACCGACGAGCGACAGCGCGGCGCCCTCACGCCGCGATGGCGAAGAGGGCAAGGTTTAAGAAAGCGTGGAAGAATACCAACTCGCAGAGGAAGAGGGCCAGGGGCGCGCCGACGTAAGCCAACTTGCCGCCGACGAAGCAGGCGTCGCCGCCGAAGAAGACGCCGTGCCACCAGCCAACCACGGAACGGCAGCGAATCACGACATGGTCGATCATCGCGCCGCGTGGCTGCGAGAGGGGCAACCCTGCGGGAGCTGCGCCGCTGGGGCGCGCCGGGCACGAGGCGCCACTCCCTTCTCGACGCGCCTGATCGCATCTTGCTGGCCGCGGCGCGTGGACTCGTTGGTCGAGAGCCCCTCGCACCTCAAGCCAAGCTTCCGCACTGCGCGGACATCGCCCGCAGCACAGTGGGACCCGCAGCGTCTGCAACAGTAGACATCGTTGCCCCTGAACACGTCGCGCCCAAGCACGGCGAAAGCGCCCCCTACCTCCCCAGCCAGGGCAGGTGGCACCAGGGCCGCGGGAGTCGAGGGCTGCGAGCTCCCTTCGAGCGCCAAAGCCGCGCCCAGGGCCATGCCAGCCCTTTGGTCGCTGCAGAGGACCCAACCCTCGCCGAAGGCGCGGAAGCACTCGGCGTTGAGAGCTCTGGCAACACGCGAAGGCCGACATACACGACGAGAGCCAATTTGCAGCAAATCGACGGAGGAGTCTGTCGTGGCTGCGACTCCGCATTGGGTGCATCCGTACCGCCCGAGGCTGGCACAGTAAGCAAGGACATGGTCCGTGCTTCGTGCCACCACAATGGGCCTGGCCTGCTCGCAAGGTGGCCTGGGGACCCCCACGTCGCACCCCCATTGCTCGCGAGCCACCGCCTGCAGTGCCGCCCACGAGATGAACTGCAGGACCTTGCGGTGCTGCTTCAGCGCAGCAGGCACCGCCTCGGCAACCGACCCAGCCAGCGCGTGAGAGGCCGCACCGCAGCGCGCGAAGTAGTCTGCCCAGCCGTTGCCTAGCCAGTCACGCAACTCCTGCGGCTCTGCGCCCACAAGCTCCTAAGGGCCTGTGCGCAGGCGCCCATCGGAACTTGGGGGGGCCCCGCAAGGTGCTTCTGCGGCTGGCCACGAAGATGCCCCGCCACGCTCTAGCATGCTCGGCACGACCCTGCCCGAGCTCGGGGCACCAACGCTCTCCTTCCTGGGCGAGCGCCAGCAGGCCAGTGACGAAGCACTGGTGGTCAGGGAACGCGTCGAGCCCCTCCCTGATCGCGCACCTCTCAGCACGGCCAACAACAGTCTGCACCAAGTACAGGAGGGGCCCGAACCGCGCCCTAAGTGGGAGCCAAGAATAAAGATCAAGCTGCACAACAGCTTGTCCACACCTCCGCACCTCGGGAACACCTGAGTCGTAGCCAGGCCCGTCGGTGCAAGAAACGAGGCCCAAAACGCCATGGGCGTCGCCCCAAAGGCAAACATCATGCCTCTGCGTGTCTGCGCGTGGCAGATCGGCGGGAGGCTCGGGCATGCCAAAGACGAGGCAGGACTGCTCGAAATTCGGCGTGCCTGATCCAAGACCCGCTTGGATAAGTTGGTCGCGCACCTCAGCCAGCACCTGGGGGAGGTGGAAGATACCACGGCATAATGCACCGCGCGCCGAGGCTGGAGCCGCCGCCGCAGGGGACAACAGGTCACTCCGTTCCGAAGCAACCGGTGGCGTACAGAGGACACTCTGCGCGTCTCGCCGCACCACCTCCTGAAGGCCGTCGTACCCATCGGGTGGCCCAAAGTGGACCTCTTCGTCAACCCCTTGCCCGACGCCAGGAAAGAAATCGTCCTCGGCCCCCATGGTGCTGCGGTGCTGGGCGCAGGTGTAGGACGGTGGGGTCGGGTTGGCCCGACTCAGGAGGTGGTCGCGAGCCTGCTGGTGCAGGTCGCCTAGACCCTGCTGTATTACAAAGGGCCTTGGACATGGTCCAGGGCCTTGGACATGGTCCGTCGGCTCCTGCCCCATGGGTCGCATGTCCCCTTCGGGGGGGCGGGTCAGCAGCACGGGCCACTCCAAGAAGACATGGCCCCAGCATTCATCGGGCGCAAGGGCCTTCCCACAAGCCTGACAGGGGCGCATGGGCATGCCGAGCTTCATGCCCCTGCGGATCGGCATGGGTATGTTGTCAGACCATAGCGCCTGCAGCGCTCCCAGCTGCCTTGCGGCACGGACACCCTTGACCGCATGCCTGAGCCCACGGTGCCAGATAGGCGCGCCAGCGTGGGAGTACATGTGGCTGGCGAGGCGGCCGCGCTGCCAGCGCCGTACGCCCTGCACCAAGAAAGGTCGCAGGTCAGCAGGGCACACGCGGTACAGGCCATGCTGGTTGCCCAAGTCGCCCTGCAAAATGTGCGGCGCTTTCATGTCCCAGGCTAGCCGCCTGAGCGTCATCCACGTCGCAGCCAGGGGACCTTTGTCATCGGCCCAACTGATTGGGACAGCCCGCTCATGGAGCGCTGTCCAAGCCCTTGAAGGCGGCTAGGCGACCCGCGCCCATCCCAAAATCCAGGCGGCGTAGTTCAAGACCAGGCCCAGCGTCGCATGGTAGATGGGATCGCACTCATCCGAAGGGTGAGTAAGGAGGTATGCCGTGACGCCCACATGGTGCATGTCACTGCGCCCGTTGAATACCGCGGCCAAGTTGCGCATCTCGCGCAGGGGCGCGTCCGCCAACCCCGACGCTCCAGCCCCGTGCCCTGCGGACGGCATGAGCCCAGTCCGCCACAGGGTGGAGGCCTTGCACCCTGCCGCGCGACGCAGCATGAGGAGTCGGTGCTTGCGCTCCCGCAAGGCCTTCAGGCGCTTCTTTCTCAACCTTCCTTAGCACCCGAGGGCCATGCAGCTCATGGCCAAAATTGCGCACATGTCGGGCTGAGGGCACCGCCCGAGACATCCGCCGCTGGACCCTGCGCACCACAAGGCGGACCTGCGCTGACCCAGCCACCACCGCGGATTTAGCAGGTTGGAGAATAAGCCCGAGATCCCTGGCCTCTGCAGTGAGCACCATCGCAGTGCGCATCAGCAGCTTCACATCACCGAGGTCGGGGGAGACCATCTGCAGGCCGATATCGTCCACCAGCGAACGCGGCTTGATGGTCGGCGCCACCCTGTTGGCCCGCTAGAGGACACGGTACGTCAGCAAATAGATGAGGTAGGTGGCATGCGTGCACCCCGCCATCACCCCCTGAAAGGCGACGAAGGAGCACGAAAGGCTACCGTACGCCTTGATGCGCCGTGGCTGCTGGTAGAGCTACAGCAACATCCATAGCAGGCGTATCGGGTAACCCAGCTCCCGTGCCTCCCGCATGAGCGCATGGGGGCTCACCATGTCAAAGCATTTCACCAAGCCAAGGTTGATGGTGCATGTGTGGTCGCCTATGAGGCTTCCCACCTCTTGCCCCAGGTTGTGAGCGAAAGCCGAGGCCGTGGATGCGTGGCTGCCTCGAGTACCCGCCATCTCGTCGCAGTTGTGCAGCCGCTGCCACTCTGCCGACAGCCATCGGCGTGCTTTCGCCCAGACTCGTATGAGAGTGTGGCTCAGCACATACAACCTGTGGCCACCATCTGGCTTAGGGAGACGGACCATCTCACTATACAGGCGGTCACAGGGAAACCGTAAGTGCTGCTCAAAAACCTCGAACATCTTGGCCAACCTCCTGAGAGCCTCATCTGATAAGTGCCCAAGCGCCCTCGGTGGAATGCGGGTAGGCCCCGAGACGGTGGCGAGAGAGAACGATCGGATGGCCTGCCGTAGGCCATGGACCGCCAGGCTAGGCAGCCCCTCCCAAGTAGGTGCATCCGCGGGTAGAGGCAGCTCTTCCAGCCCATGGGTCACCCAGATCCACTTTCACTCGCACATGGTGCGGTCCGCGAGGATGCATGGCTGGGAATAGGCCTGAGGGGCAACGAGTTCTTGCTGCGCCCTGACCTTTGATGCAGCGCGGGCAGCCTTCGCTCCCCCATTGAAGGCCGCCTGAGCCCAGCTGCGCCAGGCTCTCTCCGACGCGCCGCGAGCCGCGGCAGTGAGGGCCTCCGCACGGCCCACGATGGCATCCACCACGTCATCAAAGTCCTCCGCAATCAGCCCGTCCAGCCCGCGCAGGAAGAACTGGCGGTAGCAGGGGTCGATAACGGTGAGGACTTTGTCCTGCCCGACGATGGAGCTCAGGAAGCAGAGGATGTCGTAGAATACACTGGCAGTCTTCTGCAGCTGCCTGGGAACTGGAGACGCATACGCCGCCGCCGCATTCAACCGGTGACAAAACCGCTGGACCCGATCACGCTCGGCACGAAGGTGAGTCGCCCAGCGTGCCGCGGTAGCCCAAGCCCAGATTGCCGATCGCGGTGTCGTGGCACAGGCGCTTGCGAGGTGGCCCCCACCGCAACTGCCGCCACTTCACCTTGGGGGGGCCGTGGTGCCCGACGAAACGGTTGGCTCCAGGGCCAATGTTGTCGTGCCTGCCTGCGATCTCGTAGTCAATGCCCTGCTGAACGGAGCCCCAGAGCTGCTGCAAGACATCATCGGGTGTACCGACCTCGCCGACGGCCTGGCCATGGGCCCAGGTCCGACGGCGGCAACGTTGGCCCGCGCGTCCCGACCGCATTTTTGCCGAATGGGCCTAATTGATCGACGGACCTGCACCGGTCCCGATCGGGCCTGGACTGGACACGGTCCGTGCCAGTGACCCTTTGCGGCGCAGAGGCTGCCTGCATAAACAGGCCATCCAACGCGCGCCAAGGAAAAGGGAAACGAGCACAGCCAACAGGGGGGACAGCAGGCAGCGGTCGAGGCTCATCAGGGACGCGGCACCACGTCGGCGCGCCCTTCCCTTGCAGCCCCGGCCCCGCTGGGTAGCGAGGTCTGGGAATGCTCCCGCATCCATGTATCACCTCGGGCTGGCGAGAGACACGGGACGCGAGATTGCTGGCCACCAAGAAGAAGTAGTCGATGGTGGACACCCCGTTGGAGGCGACGCACGCAGGGGCCGACGGCTGGAGGGGAGTGCCTGCCAAAGACCCAACCCAGTCGCCAATGTTGATGCTCTGGTCGTCGGCGCCCCAGTCACCCCCGATGATCCAGTCAAGGCCGCGCGCGTTCCAGGCCGCCACGCGCTTCGCAAGCGCCCACGGGATCGAGAGGTCGGCCCTGGCGACGCCGATGCCCTGAACCATGTACACGCCGACAACAATCAGACCACCAGGGGCACCACAGTGGAAATGAGCTGCCACAACATGATGGGGAACAACGACATGATCCCCATCAAGGAGCATCGTGACCATCACGCTGGTAGGCGCGAGCACGCAGACCCCGCTGGAGCACGACGCCGCGGACGCTCCCCCCGTCTCCTCGGCGGGGGCCCGGAGGCCGTGCCAACCTGCATCGCGCACGGCAGATTGAACAGCCCCGAGCCGCTTGTCGACCACACGCGCCTCCTGGACCATCACTACCTCGCCGAAGAAGCACGGCAGAAAGTTGAGCAGTGGCCCGTGAGATCCAGGGCTAACCGCGTCCAGATTGGCCGCCACCTGACGGCGCGCGTCGCCAGCATCAGGCACGGCCGTGCTGGGACCCTGCACAAAAGGATCGCGACCCTCAGGTGCGCCTGCGTCGCTGCCACCAGCTCGGCACCGAGGTGGTCCTTTCCGCCAGTTGCGAAGCAAGCCCGCGGACTGGTCAGCCACCGACGTGGTCTTCCCACCACTGACGGAGGCCCCTGCAGAGCCCACCTCGAGCTGGGCCACGAACAGGCACCAAAGCAGCATAGAGGTCCATCCTCGCGGACGCGCCACACACGGTGAGGACGAGTGGACTGACATGCAGGTCGACGGCGAAGGGCTGGAGCAGTAGTGGCCCCTGGTGGGAGACGCACTGTGCTCTTCGCCAAATGGAGGCGGACCCGCGAAGCCAGGACCCACCCCGGCAGCAGCGCGTACATAGCACGCGCTGCCCTGTGGGCGCCCCACGTAAACACTGGCATCCGTACACGGTACTTCCTGCCAGGAAAACCCCAGCCGACAGCCTGCACATGGCACGCGCTGTCAGTGCGCGGGAGGCCACAGCTGACATTCCGTCCATGGGACATCCTGTCAGCCTGATGGCCGCACAGCCCGTCATAACAGGCTGGCGCATTGCACTCACATCTAATGGCCCACGCATGGCACGCGCCATCCGCGTGGTCGCGCTGGCCAGCGCTGCCCTCAGAAAGGGGCTGATCGAGTCTTCTTCTTCTTCCTCTAGTGCGCCGTAGCCGCGTGCGTAAAGGAGTCAAGGACACGCTCGTACGCTACCCGCATGTCCGCGTCGGTGGCATCGTCAGGCTGCGTGAGTCCTGCCGCACCCAACGCCTCCCGCAGCTCGGCGGACTCCGTGAGGTCGACGTCGATATCCACGTCGTCTCTGGCGGCTTCCTCCCTCATCTCCAGCAGGGGTCGCGGGGGCAGGGGCAGCAGCGGGCACCTGCGCCGCCGGCGGCTTCGCCTGGGGAGGCTCATGGTGCCTCCCGAAGACTTTGGCCGCCGTCTCCATCTGTGCCTGAAGGCTGGGGTCCAGGCCGAGCTCCACGGCCAACTCGCCAAGCTGCTGGACGTCGACCGAGACATTCAGCAGCAGCTCATGTAGCGTAGGCTTTCCAGCCGTGGGCGGAGGGGCTCGGTCGGCGCCCAAACGCTGGACCTCCTCCTCCAGCCGCACGACTTCGGCATCTGCCTCGGCCAGGGAGTCCTGGAGCACCGTCTGCTTGGCGACCAGTTCGTCGATGACCAGCTGCTTCTGAACGTGCTCCTCGCGAAGGCGCTTGGCCTTGGCACGGGAGTTCCGCAGCGTCGTGGTGAGGGAGGCGACCTGATCCTCCAAGGAGCGCTCGTCGTCGAGCTCCTTGTCCAAACGCTCCTTCTCTTCGGCGAGGGACTTGACCTCCACCAAGTCAGAGGCCACGGAGGATCTATCGTAGACCTTAAGGATCTTCTTGATGCGGTCACGCTTGACCTGCTTCTCTGACGGGTCAGCGGTGCCTCCGTTGTTACCAGTGGAAGCCCCATGGGGGCGCCCACTGTCCAATCTGACGTCCGCTCCAGCAGCAGAAGCACTCCCCCCCAGCAGCAGCAGCAGCAGCAGCAGCCCAAGGAGGAGGCGACTTGGCGACCGTAAGTTTCTTGACCATGGCCTGGAGGTCGGCAAGCTGCTTGGCCATGGAAGCGGTGTCGGACTGATCCTTAGATGCCTCAGGTGAGCCCGTGGACTTGGTCGCAGGACTCCCTTTGGGCGTTTTGGGACCACCGTAGCAGACTCCTTTTATGCAGGTTGCACTTGGAGCACTCCTTAAGGTCGCCACGGTTGGTCCACGGCGTGTCGTCCCTCGTGACGCACTTCTTGCAACGCCAGGGGTCAGCAGCGAAGCGGCGCGACATGGCGGCGCCGTGACGGATGTAAGGCCAACCAGGCCGCAGTAACCGTTTATAGTCCAGGAATCCTGGGGACGCCACCCAGGAAGCCCAGAAGCCAAGGCTTGGCTCGCAGGAGAGAAATAGCCCTTCCCAATGTTTCTACCCCTGCAGACCCGACTCGGGCCAGAAAGGGCTGAAGGAGGAGGAGGAGGAGCAGCAGGAGGGGGAGGGGGGAGGAGGAGGAGGAGGAGGAGGAGGAGGAGGGAGGAGGAGGAGGAGGAGGAGCAGCAGCAGCAGGAGGAGGAGGAGGAGGAGGAGGAGGAGGAGCAGGAGGAGGAGGAGGAGCAGGAGGAGGAGGAGGAGGAGGAAGAGGAGGAGGAGGAGGAGGAGGAGGAGGAGGAGGAGGGGGCCCGCCTCGGGCTGACAGAGAGGGGACCCAAACTTGCTCGTTCAAGCCGCCGCGCGGGCGGGGTCGCCGGGTCCGCGGCCGTCGGGAGCAGGGCGAGGAGCGCGAGGGCGGCGCAGAGAGGACGAGGACGACGAGAGGACGACGGCGAGGAGAGGGCGAGGATGACGAGGAGGTGAAGAAGAGGAGGACGACGGGCAGGACGAGGGGAGGACGAGAAGGGGACGAGGAGACGATGAGGAGCACGAGCTGGACGAGCATGAGGACGATGGAGTGGACGATTGCGCTCTGAGAGCGCAGTCCTCGTCAAGAGCGGCACGGGGCTGGGGGCCTCTTGGCCATCGTGTCTCCGCTACTCTGGGACAGCTCGACCGCGTCGGCCTTCTCGGTCGCAACTGTGGCCTCCACGATCACCTGGGCTCGCATGTAGCTCTCCTTTGTCTTCTGAAGGGGAAGCGGCCAACCGAGAGACGACGCAACCACACGTCGGGCAACCAGCCACGGAATACTTGCATCTGTCTCATCTGCTCCTCCTACTCCGAGTCGCACTGAAATATCAGATCGACTGCAATTATGGTGCTTGTCACCGGGGGGCGCTTGATCGAAAACCATTGACATGGATACCGAGTTCAGAGGCCTCCGGAGGTGTCCTGAACACCCGTACACTACGCCCAAACGGATCAACGTTTCCTTAAACGCCAGACGGTCTTAACAATACTGAGGTCCCCTACTTTCGCGGATCGCGCATCGCGAAGGACTCTGACGCGCGGATATCTTCGCGCCCTGGCGAAGCCACCCTGGACACGCCAGATATAAGGCTCGGGATGCCAAGCTGGCCATGGGGCAGGTCTGGACCTTCCAGGGAGCGCGCAGTGACAGTGTCCAGACATCGGACCTTTGGGTAAAGACTTTTTCCGTCGGCGGCGAGGCAGAGGCAGCCCGCACCAGCGCGAGGCTAATCGGAGCAACCGAAAGGCGAACTGTCCGACCTCTGGGCAAAGACGCGCGAGGAGTGACCCTGGGCAAGGGTGATCTCTGGTGCTCGGCTTAGGTCGGGCATGTCCCCTTACAGGCGGATTTGGGACGAAAAGCCAAAAATACTCAAAAGATGCTCCAAAATCCGCCGGCCCCCTTGCGGGGCCATCAGGCTGCGAGGCTTAAGCTTGCTGCTCCCTGCACCAGTTCCAGTTTCCAGTTTCCATTGTTACAATACTGCTTTCTGCTTCCTACTGTAAATTGTTACTGTCCGCGCGAGGGGGGGGAGCCAAAAACCGCCCTGGTTAGCACCCCCCGGGAGGGTTGTCAGAATTCCTGTCGGGGTAAAAAATCACACCCAGATCGGCGGGGTCAGGGTCCTGGGGATTTGCCACATTCCTGAAAATTCCTGACACCCCTCACGCAGATCGGCGGGGTCAGGGTCCAAAAACACAAGGAATTTGCCACATTTCTGAAATTTCCTGACACCCCTCACGCAAATCGACGGGATCAGGGTCCAAAAACACAAGGGATTTACCACATGTCCGAAATTCGGTGGCACCCCTCACGCAGATCCGTAGGGTCAAGGTCCAAAAACATACGGGATTTGCCGCATGTATTAAATTCGGCGGCACCCCTCACGCAGATCGGCGGGGTCAGGGTCCAAAAACACAAAGGATTTGCTAAATTTCTGAAATTTCCTTACACCCCTCACGCAGATCGACGAGACCAGGGTCCAAAAACACAAAGGATTTACCACATTTCCTAAATTCGGTGGCACCCCTCACGCAGATCGGTAGGGTCAGGGTCCAAAAACACACGGGATTTGCCGATGTATTAAATTCGGCGGCACCCCTCACGCGGGGTCAGGGTCCAAAAACACAAAGAATTTGCCAAATGTTTGAAAGTTCCTGACACCCCTCACGCAGATAGACGGGATCAGGGTCCAAAAACACAAGGGATTTACCACATTTCCGAAATTCGGTGGCAACCCTCACGCAGATCCGTAGGGTCGGGGTCCAATAACAGAAAGGATCGGCAGGGTCAGGGTCCAAAAACAAATAGGTCCCGACACTGCTTCACGGCAAAGCCAAAGCCTCATGACTTCGCTCTTCCATGGCCCATTCTCCGAAAGAGGGGGCCGGCGGCAGGGGGCGAAGCCCTTACGGATATTCAAAAAAATAATCGAATGAGTATCCCAATACTATGTTTGACTATTTTGAATATTCCTCCTGTAGATTTGGAGTCCCGAAACGGTGCTGTGACAGACCGTGCGGTGACCTGTATATAAAATTCGCGATACCGCCCGTTACCAGCGGCGCCCCCCCCCGGTAACGTCACGATTCGCGCCGGCGGCGTCTGGGAATGCATTGAAAGTGAACCATGCTGCTAGGACTAAAATACACATAGGAAAAAAGAGATGGTATAAAAGTGCGCTGCTACAACTACAACTACTACTACTATTACTACTACTACTACTACTACTACTACTACTACTACTACTACTACTACTACTACTACTACTACTACAAGTACTACTACTACTACTACTACTACTACTACTACTACGACTACTACTACTTTACGTACTACGTAACTACTACTACTACTACGACTACTACTACGATTACTAATACTACTACTACTACTACTACTACTTACTACTACTACTACTACTACTGTTCTACTACTGTTGCGCGCTGCTAACTGCTACTACTACTACTACTACTACTACTAACTACTACTACTACTACTACTACTACTACTACTACTACTACTACTACTACTAGCTACTACTACTACTACATACTACATATCGTGGCACCACATCACCACGCTTCACCGCCTTGGAAGACGTCCTTGTGGCTACTACTACTACTACTACTCATACTACTCCTACTACTACGACTACGACTACGACACGGACTACGACTACGACTATACTTCTACTAGACTATTACTACTTACTACTACTACTACTACTACTACTCTACTACTACTACTACTTACTATACTACTACTACTACTACTACACTACTACGACTAACTACTACTACTATTACTACTACTACTACTACTACTACTACTTACTACTACTAACTACTACTACCTACTTACGAAATACCACTAATAACTACTACTACTACTACACTACTACTACTACTTAAATACTACTTACTACTATACTACTACTACCACTACCACTACCACTACCACTACCACTACCACTACCACTACCACTACTACTACTACTACTACTACTACTACTACTACTACTACTATTACTACTACTACTACTGTTACTGCTACTACTGCTACTGATGCTGACACTGCTATTGCTACTGCTACTGCTACTTCTACTATGACTACTACCATGTAACACCCCTCACAGGGGTAGAAACCAATTGGACCAAGTGTATTGGCTGGGGCGCCACGCTGTCACCCTGCTCATCCTTTCCTCATCATGCTCGTCCTTTTCCTCATCCTTCTCCTCGTCCTCCTCCTCCTTTTCCTTGTCCTCCTCCTCCTCCTCCTCCTCCACGTCCTCCTCCTCCTCCGCCTCCCCCTCCCTACATCGGGCGTGATGGACCATGGGACCTCATGGAGCCTCCTGGTCATCCCGGGGGCCTCCTGGGATAGCAACTCTGGGGACTTCCTGCGGCCTCTTGAAACCTCCTGGGCTCTCCTAGGGTATCCTCAGCCCTCCAGGGGCGTCCGCAACGTTCTGGAACTTTTGGGTCGTTCAGGATACGCCCGGAGCGTGATGGGACCTCCTGGGGCCTTGTGGGACCTCGCGGGGCATCCTGGGACCTCCTGGAGCGTCCTGGAGCCTCCTTAGGATTCCCACGGCCTCCGGGACGTCCTGAAGCCTCCTGGAGCTTCCTGATGCCTCCTGAGACCTCCTGGGGCCTCTTGGCGGCTCTCTAAAGAAGCCACGCGCGGGGCCTCAAAATTGGCGACAGTTTCAAGGATGGGAGCCTTCCCATTGAGAAAGAGGGCGCGGTGGACGTTGAAAAATGACGACAATTACACACTTGAGGCCCAAAACCGTGCCGGGCACCCCCCCCCGCCATTCCCGGTCCTGCATAGTACGGTGCGATTTGCCCCCTCCCCGCTGTCCCGCCGGTCCCCGGGAGGGCTAGTTTTCTGGTTTTCGCTTGTAAGAAACACTTCCCCCCCCCCCCTCTCGGCGGTGACGGAGGGCAGGCGGCGGGGGAGAGCGGGTTGGCAGGGTGGCTGGTTGGGCACGGAGAGCAGGCGGAGGGGATCGGCTGGTTGGCGGGATGACGGGGTGGGCGGCTGGGCTGGTTGGTGACGGGTTGGCTAGGTGGCGGGGTGGCTGGGTGGGCTGGCTTGCTGGTTGGACGGGTTGGCAGGTCGAGCTGGCTAGGGCAACTGGTTTCGACGACGACTACTACTACTACTACTACTACTACTACTACTACTACTACTACTACTACTACTACTACTACTACTACTACTACTACTACTACTACTACGACTACTACTACTACTACTACTACTACTACTACGACTAGTACTAGTACTACTACTACTACTACTACGAACTACTAACTACTACTACTACTACTACTAATAATAATACGACTACTACTACTACTACGTACTACTACTAACTACTACTACTACGACCTACTACGACTACTACTACACTACGACATATGACTAACAGACTACGACTACGACTACGACACGACTACGACCTACTACTACTACGGCTAATACTACTACTACTACTACTACTACTACTACTACTACTACTGCTACTACTACTACTACTACGGGGGCTGCTACTAACACTACTACTACCGACTCGACTACTACTACTACTACTACTACTACTACTACTACTACTACTACTACTACTACTACTACTACTACTACTACTACTACTACTACTACTACTAATACTACTACTACTACACTACTACTACTACTACTACTACTACTACTACTACTACTACTACTACTACTACTACTACTACTATGACTACTACTAGTACTACTACTACTACTACTACTACTACTACTACTACTACTACTACTACTACTACTACTACTACTACTACTGTTACTACTACGACTACTACTGTTACTACTACGACTACACTACTACTACTACTACTACCACTACTACTACTACTACTACGACCATGACCATCAGCAACATCATCATCAGCAGCATCATCAGAATCGCTGTCGCAATCATCATGATGATCAGCATGACCACCACCATCACCATCGTCTTCTCCATCCTCGTAATCATCATCGTCCGCATCAGCATCAGCATCATCATCACCGTCGTCATGATCAGCGTCATCATCCTTGTCATCATCAGCAGCAGCATCAGCATAGGCATCAGCATCGTCATCATCAACGGCATCGTCATCACGCGCAACATCTTCATAATCATCATCGGCTTCTTCTTCATCATCGTCATCATCACCATGATCATCATCATCATCATGGTGATCGCCGCCATCATCAGCAACACCATCATCAGCATCATCAGCAGCGAAATCAGCAGAAACATCGCCATCATCAATTGCACCATATGTACCGTCTCATCATCAGCAGCATCACCGTCAGCATGATCATCATCACTCATCATCATCATCGTTGTGACTGTCGTAATCGTCATCGTCATCATCATCAGCAGCATCATCATCGTCATGATTATCGTCGTCAACGACATCGTCATCATATCATCATGCTCATCATCAACAGAGTCGTCGCAATGATCATCAGCATAATCATCATCGTCGTCATCATCATCGTCATCAGCATCATCATCATAATCACCATCATCACCAATAGTATCATCATCCTCGTCATCATCATCATCATCATAATCATCGTCATCATCATCAGCATCATCATCAGAGTCATCATCCATGTCCCTCCCCTTCTCCTCTTCCTCCTCCTCCTCATCCTCCTCCTCCTCCTCCTCTTCCTTCTCCTTCTCCTCTACCTTTTCGACCTCCTCCTCTTCATTCCTTTGTTCTCCCTCCTCCTCCAACTCCCCCTCCTGTAGGCTGAAACAAGAGAGCGGACCAGACGAGCGCCGGCGCCGCGCTCAGTAGCAGCCAGCACCCTGCTCGGACGCGCCATCTTGTGCGTCTTCAAGCAGGGCGGCGGGAGGCAGCGTTTCCGCCTTAGATTCCAAGGGCGGGGGAAGGGGGAGGAAAAAGAGGAGGAGGAGGAGGAGGAGGAGGAAAAGGAGGACCGAAAAACGGAGCCTCCTTACATTGCAACCCTACACACGTGCTTGACCAAGCCCTTAACAGGGAGGAACACAGCATGCCGAACGGCCTCCGCGATCGGCTGGGCGATCGAGTCAGGAATCCTCTCGCTGGTGCCCCTATTTCCAGGATCGCCGCGAGGATGGGACGATGCAGGCGAAACATCAGCGCCACGCTTCGCGCCGAGTGTCCAACGAAAGCCCCGTTTTGAAAAAAAACAACTTCCACACTTGCAGTTGTTTCGCAATGTTCGGCTCCTGGCCATAGATTGTCGGGGACAGCCCCAGCGAGAGCCCCGTCTCGAAAGTGAGTTTGCATCAGTCCTTGCATCGGTCACGCGAGATTGAGAGGCTGGTCCGGTGCGTTGAAAACGTCAAAAGCGAAAGCCCCATTTCGAAAATGAACCCTTCATCCTCGTCGCGTCTGGCAAAAGCTAGAGCGAGCATTCGCAATGCTAGAGCAATAGCCGCATGTTGGACACGGGCCGCTCTCTTCAAATATAAGAATATCACCTCCCTCGTGGGATGCCTGGACAATCACATCACCGTACCCGGCATCGAATGGCAGGCGGGAAGCTTGGGAGTCAGGTCCCTTGCCTCATCCGTTGCCAGCCCCAGTGGGGCCACTAGTCGTCTGGGTGGCCTACGTCCGGCTGCGTTCCGGCTGGACTTTGGTCCAACTGGTGTTCTGAGACCCACATTGGCGAAGGAGTCCGCGGCGCACAACACGCACATACGATTGTTAAGGATTGATGGCATGTGCGCGCATAGGGACACGGCCGAGGGGCCGTGCCTATGCGGGGTCCGTAGGTAGAGGCGAGGAGCAGGACTCTTTGTCCAGGGCACTGCGCAGGGGGCAGTGCACTGTTGGAGTTATGCCAATACCTTGAGCCAATACAGCTGCGGTAAGAGAGGATATAATAAGGAACTGAGCGGTCTTTACACACACACACACACACACACACACACACACACACACACACACACGCACACACACACAGCCACACACACACACACACACAGTCCCGATACCTGCCAGCTCCCGATGGCCTCGGGCCCACAAGACACGACGGCGGGAGTCGGGAACAGAGGTGTGAGGTCCACTCACCACCCCGTTTTATCCACCGCCCGTCCAAACGAAGGCGCATTGGCTAGGAAACGTGAGTGAGAGAGAGAGAGAGAGAGGACCGACCCAGCCACGCGGGGTACTTGAGAGTGTCTACCCGACTTAGCGGGCCCAAAGTGCGCCCCCCAAAACGCTTCGGCACTCCTGGACGACACTCCGTCACCGCAGGTGGCAGGGATGGGAGAGTAAGGGAAAGAGAGCAGCAAGGTGACACCAGCACCCTTCGATGCAAGTGTTGCCACCGACGCGCGAAAGGCGTCAAGTGAAGTGGATCGGAGTTGTGACGACAACTCGATCAAAGCAAAACGGCTCATTTTCACGGGGCGCTCCAGGCCCAAAATATGACCAGGGCACCCCAGGCCCACATGTAAAAATATTAGGAAACGTGTGATGACAACCCATCTCTGATAATATATCGTGCATGCTGTGAGGCACCCCAAGCCCCCAAAAAACGGATGTAACGTAAAAATGTATTTACGAGCGTTGCCGACATCAAAACATGAGCATGGGCAAAATTCGGCGCAATCGGTCGTACACGGACGCCGTCCCATGATGAGTTATAGACGCCTATCTCGATAGAATTAGTGGCGGACGACCTGCCTGGGTGCGTTCATGCCCGACTGCCAGAATTTATTGTCCGAACCAACGTCAATATCGCAAGACGGTGTAATATCACATAAAAGAGCACAAGTGTCAATGAGTCTGTAGATACAGATGAATGAAAACCACAATGATGTCAGCTCAAGTCAGAATCGATGGTAATAGACTGCGCACCCAAATACGCAGTAAGACGATGACAATCAATGCATATGTATGAAATGGTTCGTAGTGGCGTTCATCCCAAACACGATGTCCATAGTCGTTGAACCAACTGCTGGTGATGGTCCTGAAGATGTCACATGACCATGTACCTATACGACCACCCTGCGCGTGATAAGGAGGTTGGGGGGGCTCGCGTTCTAGCTAGTTAGGTCCGCCAGGCTAGCGCATGGAATCTAAATTGATGAAGTGCCTTCTGCACCGGACGACCTTCTTGGAGTCCCTGCGCAAGCCTCGGAAGCGTATAAAAGGGGAAATGCGGAAACCACATAACTAATCATCATAATGACGGGATTGAACCGAACGGTCATTCACTGTCCCTGGGTGCGTGGTTGAAGTGGAATGCCGCGATGCGGATTATTGTTCTTGTTGTTGAATTCTCATTTCTGAAGAATTATTATTGTTGATCCCCCCCACCGGTGCATACTGATTTTTCTCAATCGAAGTGCGCCCCTCGACGCTCGCACCCGGTTTTTTGACAGTGAAAGTCTTCATGTTCAAACTGGGGCCCTGGTCCCCGGGGTTACAGCAACAACGGTTCCCGCCTGAGACTTCCTTACAATTTAGCCAGGACCCCCGCTCCCGCCCGAGACCTCCTCGCATTCTATTCAGGAATCCCGCTCTCGATTGGGACTTCCTTACAATTTACTCATGAATCGCTCTCCCGGCGCTCTGGAGTCGCGCTCTCGCTGGAGACTTGCTTGCAACTTACTGAAGAATGGCCTTGCGTTGGAATTTCCTGCAATTTGCCCAAGCGTCGCGCTCCCGACACCCAGGCACCCAGGAGTGGCGCCCGTCGTGGCCCCATGTGCATGCCCTTCGTGGCCCCGCTGTCGCCACTTACGTGGCCCAGTTGCTACCCTCAGTGGCCCCATAGTTGCCTTCTGTGGCCCCGCATTATCTGCACTTCGTGGCCCCCGCTCGTTCGCGCTCTTCGTGGCCCCATACGCATTCCCTTCGTGTCCGCGCTGTCGCCCTTCGTGGCCTACTTCGTGCCCTTCGTGGCCCTGCTGTCGTTCTCTCTCGCTCTCGCTTTCGCTCGTCGTCGCCGTCGTCGTCGTCGCCGTTGTCTTCGACGTCGTCGTCGTCGTCGTGGTCAGTCCCGTGTCCGTCCCTCTTGGGGTCGGGTCGACGGTCCGCGGCCGCCCCGCCGATCAACGCTGCCGCTGGCCCGGCCGACGGTCCGCGGCCGCCCCGCCGCTTGCCGGGGCCCGGCCTGCAGGGAAGAAAGGTATACCCCCGAAAAGGGGTTCGGTCGAAGACGAAGAAGGCGGGAATGGAGGGTTTGGGAAATACGCGTTATTGGACACTCGAGCATATGAGGGCGAACAGTCTTAAAATGATTGTTGTTGTTGTTGTTGCTGCTGCTGTTGCTGTTGCTGTTGCTGTTGCTTGTTGTCGTCGTCCCGCCCACGACCCGCCCCACGACCCACCCGCGACCCACACCGCGACCCACCCGCGACCCACCCGCGACCCACCCCGCGACCCATCCGCGGCCCACCCGGCGACCCACCCGTGACCCACCCGCGACCCACCCGCGACTCACCCCTCGACCCGCCCGCGACCCAACCCGAGACCCCCCTAGCGACCCACCCGCGACCCACCGGCGACCCACCCGCGACCCACCGGCGACCCACCCCGAGACCCACCCGCGACCCACCCGCGACCCACCCGCGACCCACCCGCGACCCACCCAAAATTTTCGGCGCATGCGGCGGGTTCCTTTTGCATTCGTTCCAAGTGGAGAACCTGCGACCCACCCGCGACCCAAACCGCGCCCGCGACCCACCCGCGACCCATCGCGACCCACCCGCGACCCACCAAGGACACACCCCGCGACCCACCCAAAATTTTCGGCGCCTGCGGCGCGCTTCTTTTGCAGTCGTTCGAGGTGGAGAACCTGCGACCCACCCGCGACCCAAACCGCGTTTCAAAATGTTCGGCACTTGCGGCGGGCTGTTTTCGAATTCCTTCCAGGTGGAGGTGGAGAGCCCGCGACCCACCCGCGACCCAAACTACGTTCACTGAACAAGCCAAAACTTCGGCGCCTGCGGCGGGTTTTTTTTGCATTCGTTCCAGGTGGAGAGCCTGCGACCCAAACCGCGTTCAGTGTGCAAATCAAAATTTTCGGCGCCTGCGGCGGGCTGTTTTTGAATTCCTTCCAGGTGGAAGTGGAGAGCCCGCGACCCACCCGCGACCCAAACTATGTTCACTGAACAAGCCAAAACTTCGGCGCCTGCGGCGGGCTGTTTTTGCATTCGTTCCGGGTGGCCCACCAGCGACCCCCCCCGCGCTGAACTTGTCAGAGCACGCAACGAGAAAGAGGAGGAGGAGGAGGAGCAGGAGGAGGAGGGCGCCATCGACCGGGAAGGTGAAGACCACGAGGTCCGCCGGCTCGACGCCCGCGTCGCCCGCGCCCGCCCCCTAACTCTTATCCGCAATTGCGGGGTGCTACGTACATTTCTTTTCGGTGTTCGTTTGTTTGGGGCCCTCGAAGGCTTCCTGGGGTCTTTCTTCGGCGGTGATGGGGGCCTTAACTATGCTCTGTTGTGCAAAGGCTGCAAAGGTAAGCAGGGGGGGTAAGTTTGGACAAACATATTGAATTCCTTGTTTTCCAAATTGCCATGCCTGGTCCGTGGGTCAGAGGCTTCCTGGATACAGGCCGTGGGCTGTCGCGACGCCTCTGGGGGCGTTTTGGCGGCGTCTTGGGAATATGTCAGGGCCTCTTGGGGGGCTCTTGGCGCCTCCTGGGAGCCACCCCGGGAATCTCCACAGGCATATGGTGGGCGCCTCGAGAACCTCTGGGGGAACCTTCGGGCCACCTTGGGGCAAAGCGCTCGTAAGGCTTTGGGAGGTCCCCTCTTTTGTCTCTTTCTTGGCGCGCGCGTGCGCGCTGACGTTCTAGCTGGGCTGGCCAAGTGATCTCATGGAAGCTCGATGTTTACGGCGGTTTCAGGGGCAGCCAAGATGACACGAAGACGACCCAAGAGAGTGCCAAGGCAGCATCAGAGAGTTCAACAGCATTCTCGGAAAATCTGTGCAATGTGACCCCGAATGCTTGATAAAGCTCGGATGAACTTGAACAACAAGAGAATCACTGGATTTCCTTTTTTTTTCAAGTGGGCTGCTTTGGGGCGCTCTTGGGCCGTCTTGGGGCCTTCTTGGCCCGTCTTGGAGCCGTCTTGGAGGCTCTTGGGCGGTCTTGGGGCGGTCTTAGGGGCCCTTCTCGGCCGTCTTGGAGCGTTGGAAGCTCGATAACGCGAGAAGGCTACAAACCACAAAAATACGAAAACAATGAACATCAACGATTTTGGCCTCTTCGGGCGCTCCTGGGACACCTCTCGGAGCTCTCTTGGGGCCTTTTGGAGGCCTCCTGGGAGCCTGGGGAGCCGTCGGAGGTCTGTCTTGGGCTGCTCGGGAGCGTCTTGGGCCGTCCTTTCGCGTTTTGGGGGTTCCTTGGGGGCGTCTTGCGCCATCCTGGGGCGTTTTGGGGCCTCCCTGGGAAATCCGGGGGCGCGGCACCGGGAGTTGCCCCCAAATGTCACGGAGGTGGGGGACGGTCCCCGGGGGGGGGGGGGGTACTAGTGTTTTGTTTACAGATATGCAAATGCAGTACGTCCATGCAAAGGCGAAGGGCCCTGCCAGATGCAGTTGTGGGTAACGCCGTTGTGTGCACGGCCTTCGGTGGAGTTCCCTTATGGGGCCACGAAGCGTGTGAGGCGTGTGCCAAAGTGGGTGCGGCGGTCGCGTGTGCCCGCTGGCATCTGGGCCTTCGGCTTGAGCTCCATATGTGGGACCACGAATCGTGCGGGGGGTGTGCCAAAGTGAAGGAGGGGAGGAGGGGGAGGAGGAGGGGGAGGAGGAAGAAGAGGAGGGAAGACGCGGGGCACTGTCTCTTCAAAACGAGGACCCAACTCCACAGGATGGTTGGGAAAGAGAAAGACAGAACGAGAGAGAGAGAGAGAGAGCCTGAGAGAATGCATGAGTGAATCAATGAACAAATAAATGAATGAATGAATGAATGAATGAATGAATGGAAGGAGGAATGAGCGGATGGGGAAATTATCGACTGAATGAAGAGGCACCTTGCGAGGCGAGGAAGTCCCTGCGTGGCGAGAAGGGAAGTCTTGGCGAGGCCTTGCGGCGAGGCGCTCGCGAGGCTACGGCGTCCGCAGCACCCTTCGAGGCGAGGAAGTCCTCGGCGAGAGCTTCCCGCGCGGACTTGGCAGCGATCATGGGCGCCACCACCTGCGCACACACCCCTCCCACCCCCCTCTCCCCTCTCTTCACCTCCCTTTGCCCCCCTTTGCCTTCTTCCGTCTCCCCCTCCACCCCCACTCCCCTCTGCCCCCCCCTTCTACTGTCCCCTCGTTCCCTCCCTCGCAGTCCTCTCTCCGCCCTCGTCCATCCTCACTCCTTCACCCCTCCCTCCGCCCTACGCGCCTCCTCCCTCCATCGTCCTTCTCCTCCGTTATTCTTCGTCTTCCTCATTGTTCCTCCTCCTCCTCCTCCTCCTCGTGCTACTCCCTCCCCCTTCCTCCCCCCTCATCCTCATTCTCCGGTATCCTCCGCCCTCCTCCCTCCTTCCTCTTTTCTCCCTCCCTCCCTGCTCCCTCGCCCTCCTTCCGCAGCCATTCCGACCCAAGCCACTGTTGGCCCAGGCCTGGTGCGCGCTCGCGCGCTGGGCTGGCATCGGCGGGCCGCCCCCCCCTCCTCGGGCCGTGTTCCTTGCGATGGGGGTCGCCCGAGGCTCGCGAGCGACTGGCAAAGCTCCAGGTGGCGCAGGCCGTGCTCCGCGCGGCCTCGTCGGCGGCGGCCTGCCATGCGGGTACGAAGGCCCTCGCCACGGCGGTTTGGGCTGCGGCGCGCGGCGCCGCGCAAGGGGCGGGCGCGTGCGCGGCAGGCGGCGACGCCGACGGGGGCGAGGTGGTGCAGCTGGCGAGGGTGCTTGATGCAGGCCTCGGAACACGTTAGCGAACGCATGCCACATTCATCCATCAACGCCTCCCCCTCTAAGGTCCAAAGTTGGCGGTGGGTCTGATGAGATGCACTTCGACCGCAGTCTCCACCGCGCGTGCCAGCGTTGAGTTTGGGGGGGCAGGGGGAGTGTTCAGTAATTGTTTCCCTCTGCCGTGGGGTGCTCGAGGCAGGCCGGCTCGCGACGCCCGCCACAGTGCCGTCCGCGAAGGAGGGGCTGCGGGCAACCAGCGCGCCCGGGCTGGCTTCCCGGGCCAGGAGGCTGAGCAAGCTGAGCAACGAAAAAGAGCATCGAGACGTGGGGCTCGAGAGGGAGGTTCGGGCGCACCTCGAGGGCTCCCAGCTGGAGGCAAAGGAGCAGGAGGTCGTGAAGAGCGACACCACCATGGACGTGGACGGGACCAGCAAGGTGGAGCAGCACATGGAGGCGCAGTCCCAGTGGCAGGAGGCGCAGCGGGCGGCAATGCAGCTGGAGGCGAAGCTCGCCGAGGTGCAGTCAGAGCTCTGCGACGCTCTGGCGGAGATGGGGCAGCTTCAGGAGCAAAAGGTCGAGCTGAAGGAGAAGCTGAACGAGGCGCACGAGGAGCTCAAGCTCTACGGCGGCCTCGAGAAGCCGATGCGGCTCTTCCAGGAGCAGCTGCAGGAGGCCACGCAGACCAATCTGCAGCTGGAGATGCAGCTCGCCGTCGTCCCGAAGGCGGCCGCCGACGC